ACAAATCAAGTTTCAAGATTAGAATAATCTTGAAATTTGATTGATCAAATCATAAAATATTTGTGAAATCAAATTTTTACTTACAGGTTTTAATTTGGCAGCACATATTTAATGCTAATATTGAATAAATTTTATAAATTACCTTTTAAACATAATACTGCCTATCTTCTTATACATCAAGCATGGTATTTATCTTTATTACAAATAGCTGCAACAGTTTCGCTTGATTCTATTTTTTTTTCCATTTTGTAAAAGACGCAAGTACCAAACAACTGACTGGTACCGTGCTAACTCAGTTTTGCTAAGTTTTTCATTTTTTATATACTGATCGATTCTTTTAATTGTATCTTCAATACTTTGTTTTTGATTTTCACCATCATTATAATCTACATTTTCGATTATATCCTCAAAACTTTGTTGGTAGGTTTCAGTATTATTATCATCCATATTTTGATTGTCTTGGTTTTGGTTATCTTCCTCATTACTCACTAAATTATTTTTCTTAACTTTTAAAAAAAAGCTTGTAATAGAAACTGTTCCTATAGCAGCCTCTTTGTTCTTAGCCTTTTTTCGTCGATGAGTTCTTTTAGAATTACCTATATGTAAGTGGACATTTGTTGATAGTTACCGTAAAAGTCGGACACGTATACCCCCCCATGGTGTGTACCCTCTACTAGTTTTAAGAGCTAGACGGTGACTTATACCCGGGTACATAAACATTATACATGTATATGTATCATCCCAGATAGACATAGTAAAACATATTGTCTCAATACGGTGTACCCCCCATATAGAGGTACCCCGGGTACAGATTTGAGAAATGAAAATACCCGGGGTACACGTGTCTGACTTTTACGGTACTTGTAGCTTGTTCATTTGGTTCATTATTTTTTCGAATATATTACTCATAATAACATCTGCTTCTTTTTCATTTATCATTGTTCCCTCTTCCAACACTTCACTATCACTAAAATCACTTTCACTATTTTCACTATTTTTACTATTTTTATTATTTTCACTATTTTCACAACTTTCAACCTTATTTAATTTATATTGTAGTACTTGTCGAGTGATTGAAGCATTTGTTGCAATTGATGGGATCTTTTTGTTTTTGGCATTTTGAATGTACAAAAAATATAAAACCAGTATAATTAACTTTTTTTTTTTTTTGAGGAATGTCTTTTTAGATCAAATAATATAAAAAAAAAAAAATTATTAAGATTAGTATTTATATGTAGTGTGTTATTTATGTTAAAATTTTGACTTTAATATAAAAAAGCTTCACATACTTAAAGTAACTTAAGGTAACTTAAAGTTAATTAATATCTTTGCAGTAAAAATTTACTCAAAAATTTATTATTTATTACTTTTTACTTGTACCGGACTTCTTTACACTCACATAAAACTTCCCAACATCCACACCATTCAACTTCCGCACTCACATCAGCTCTCTCCTTTTTCAACCTCTACACTTATATCAACTTCTTCTTTATTATTAAATATTACAATGTTACTAATATTATTATACAATATTGGTTTATTTAAGATAATATATACACAAGTAAAGGTTTAATTATACAAAGTAAAAGCACAAGTAAATGTTCAATTATGCAAAGCATTCGATTATAAAGGTTATGCATTATTACGTTACTAGTTTTAAATTTAAATTAACTTATTGCTATTATGTCATCGCACATTGTACTTCATTATCACGTGAATATTTAATTAGCCAATCAGAAATCGTTGAATATCACGTGATAAAGCAATTGGCCAATCATATTTACCGGCCAAATTGAAAATTATATATGAAAATGGATAAATTTTAAAATGGTATAACTTTTAATTAAATCAAAATTTAAATAAAATAATTTAGCCAAAATATAATTATATTAATAAAAAATATTTTGGTTAAAAAAATTTTTTTAATAAATATAAAATTAAGGCTGTGTAAGTTTTTAAAAAAAGCTAGTCAAAGTTGTCAGGATAAGCTGTCCTATACTGTAGCTGATAAAGCATGATATTCATCTTTTGGTATTTGATATTTATCAACTAATTGTATTATTTCTAATTTGTGCTTATTTTCTTCTATTATATCTTGAGATCCAAACTTTATTTGAAAAGGTATATTTGCAACTGTAAAAGACAGGTTTTTAAGAGCAACTTGATCATTAGGATGATAATTTTCTTTGGCAATTTGATAAAATTTTCTTTAATATTTTTTGCAAAAGTTTTTGTATAAGATTTTTTAGTTGTGATACTTATTTTATTAAAATATTTCAAAGGTCTAATATATGGTTGATCTTTCTGAACTTGCTTAAAGTGAAGACCAAAAAGTAAAGGACCTGATATCTGACTTGCATTTAAATTTTTCATTTAATTCATTTATTGGCTAACAATAATTTTGATAAATATTTATATATATATTATTACTATAACTAAACCTAATAAGATTACTATCCTTTTGAACTTTTGTTGTAGCATCACTAGAGGAATAATCTGATACTACCTCTAACTCAAAATTTGGACCATATTTTATATAATAAACTGGACGGTTGTCTATATATTTGATAGAGTCTTTAATAGTATTTAGACTTGATGGTTTGCTTCACATAATAATAATACTAAAATCATCAGGAATAGCATATCTTTTTGGTGCTTTTGTATATTTAAGGTTTGATACAGCAGGAAAAACTCCTTTGTTATATATTGTATACTAAAAGGTGCGACCTTTGATTTTATGTTTTATAGAATTGCAATGGTATTCTTTATGTATTGGTAAAAGATTAGATATTTTTAATAAATATATATATGTTATGAATAGATTATACACTTCAAACAAAGAATTATACTATAACAAAATAAAGTGAAAACAAAAAAACTCCTGAATATACCTTATTGAGTATGCTTTTGGACTCATATATACTTTTATTTCTATATTTCATATTAATATATAAAGTTGTATTACGTATAGTATAAAAAAGAAGTATCTTATAATAACATCTTTGTAGATTAACCAATTAGATTTAATTATATAAAATAAAAAATTCAAAATTCTTATTCAATTAAAAAAAGATTTATTAATAAATTTTTTATTTATTACAGTATTAATAAATAAAAATTATATGCTAAGAAATTTTCTAAAATTATTTATATACAAAATTGCACAAGTACCACTCCTAATATAATTCACTAATAATTTTAGTGGTGCATAGTTGCTAGTTGTTTAGCTTTGAAACGTTCAACACAAAAAAAAAGACTCTTTGGTATAAAAGTTTGTTGACTAATAATTTTGATGCTCAATTGCTAGAATAAAATAGATCAAAATAAGAACCTTATTCAATTCTGGTACTAGTTCTCTGACTGAGGGAGAAAAACTAGTTAAAATTATTAAAAAAATAAAAATAAAAGAAATTTTCTAAACTTGGAAGACCCATTAGGATGATAATATTCAACATTGTATGGGTGTCGCTAAAGAAAAATTTTGAACTGGGAATTTAAGTACATTATTTATTATATGCTGTATTCTATGTGTATAAGTAGATATTCATTTCTGTATATACAGCTGAATCTAGCAAGTAATAAATAATATACTTAAATTTCTAGTTAGAAGTTTTTCCTTAGTGGCACTTATATTTTCTATTAACATCCTTATCTCTGCTGATATTTAATAATAAATGAATACCTTATACTTATCCTTTTTGTCTTCAATTCTATTCTTGTAACAGTTTTCAAGTACAATTATTCTATCAGCATTCTTGTCTTTGCAAATGTTTGATATAAATGCCTTATACAATATACTTCATTAATTCTATATAGTATAATAATATTTAGTGTCAATAACTAAAACAAAAAGTATGAAGTGCTTGAACAATCACTTACTTTAATAGCTATGAAACTTTAAAATGCCAGCTCAAAAAAAAAAGATTAGTGTAAAAAGTTTGTTGATCAGCATAAGCGATTTGCTAATACTTTTAATAATGCTCAATTGCTTGGATCAAAATAAGAACTCAATCAATTCTGGTACCAATTCTCCGATAAAACAGAAAAACCAGTTAAATTTATTTAAAAAAAAACTTTCCTGAACTTGGAAGACACATTAGAATAATAATATTCAATATTATATATTCTATTAATATCTCTGTTTTTGCTTATATTTAATAATAATAAATTAATGTCTATATTCATCTATTTTTTTTTAGTTCCATTATTGTAACAGTTGTCAAGTGCAATTGTTCTAACAGCATCTTTGTTTTTGTTAATATTTGATATGAATACCTTATGTACAATACATTCTTATCGATTCTATATAGATAATAGTATTTAGTGTCAATAACTGAAAAAAAACATGAAGATACTTGAACAAAAATTTGTTGACCGGCACAAGCGATTTGCTAATAATTTTAGTAATGCTTAATTGATAGGATCAAAATGAGAACCTCAATCAATTCTGATACTAATTTGTTAAATTATTAAAAAAAAAAAACTTTTCTAAACTCGGAAGGATAATAATATCCAACATTATATATTTCACTAGTATCATCATCTTTTCTGATATTTAATAATAAATTAATCCTTTTTGTTTCCAGTTCCATTCTCATAACAGTTGTCAAGTGCAATTATTCGATCAGCATCTCTGTCTTTGCTAATATTTAATATAAATGCCTTATGTACATTTTCATCGATTTTATGCAATATAATAGTATTTAGTTTCAATAATTAAATTGAAATGCCGGCACAAAAAAAAAAAATAAATAAATTAGTGCAAAAATTTGTTGAATACACAAGTAATTTGCTAGTAATTTCAATTGTTAGGATCAAAATAAAAACTCCAATCAATTCTTGCACTAATCCTTTGATAAAAGGAAAAATTAGTTAAAATTATTCAAAAAAGCTTTCTAAACTTGGAAGATCTATCCATTAGAATAATAATATCCAACATTATATATTCTATTAACGTCCCTATCTCTGCTGATATTTGATAATAAGTTAACTTATATTCATTATTTTCGTCTTCAGTTTCACTATTGTATAACAGTTGTCAAGTACAATTATTCTAAAAGCATCACTGTTTTTGCTAATATTTGATATAAATGCATTATATATATTTTCATCGATTTATATAGTATAATAGTATTTAGTGTTGATAACTAAAACAAAAAGTATAAAAATAATTGAACAATCACTTACTCTAATAGTTATGAAGCTTTGAAATGTCAGCACAAAAAAAAGGGTTGTACAAAACAAGTTTGTTAATCATCACAAGTAATTTGCTAGTAATTTTAATGATGCTCAATTGTTAGAATCAAAATAAGAACTTTTGACACTATTCTCTCATAAAAGGGAAAAACTAGTTAAAATTATTCAAAAAAATAAAATAAAATAAAAATAAATATGAAAAAACTTCCTTGAACTTAGAAGGCCCATTAGAATATTATAATAATATTTAATATTATATGTTCCATTAATGTTTCTATCTCTGCTAATATTTGATAATAAATTAATGCCAAATTTCATATTTTTTGTTTTCAGTTCTATCCTTATAACAGTTGTCAAGTACAATTATTCTATCAGCATTAATATGAATGCCTTATATACATTTTTATCAATTCTATATAGTATAATAGTACTTAATATCAATATAGTAACTAAAACAAAAAAAGTATGAACATTGCTTGAACAATCACTTACTCTAATAGCTATAAAGCTTTGAAATACCAGCGCAAAAAAAAAGATAATTGTAGATTGATGCAAAAAGTTTACCAGCACAAGTGATTAATAATTTTAGTAATACTCAATTGCTTGAATAGATCAAAATGAGAAGATCAATTAATGTTTTTATCAATTCAATATAGCAAATAATAATAGAAAAAAACCTACCAAATAATAATAGTATTAATATCAGAAATCTAAAAAAAGGTACAATTCTTAAAATTCACTTTAATTACTCTTTGAAATGTGGTTGCAAAAAAAAATAGTTTGACGCTCGTAATTTTAATATTCAATTGCTAGAATAGATCAGAATAAAAATCTCAATATTTGAGTAGTTCTCATAAATTTTATGTAGTATAATTAGGGATGTTACAGTCCGGTCCAGTCCGGTCTGGGTCCTAAAGACCGG